TGTATAGATCATATGACCCTTGCTTCAGCACAAGTAACATGACCTACGTCAGACTGGAGAGAATTTCAGTATTCAACATTGACATCTACCCATTCTTTTCCATGATGCCTAAGGCCTGGTTCCACCAGTGTGAACCAGGCCTTAGGCATCATGGAAAAGAATGGGTAGATGTCAATGTTGAATACTGAAATTCTCTCCAGTCTGACGTAGGCCATGTTACTTGTGCTGAAGCAAGGGTCATATGATCTATACATCTATACATGATTTATACTGTTTTTTGCATGTTTGTATGCACGTTAACAGCATGCTGTTATTTGTGCGTTGTGCACATTTATTTTTATTTATTTTAATATTTATTTATTATGAATATGGTGAAATGTGAATATTTTCTGTTTTTGATGTTTAAATGTGTGCAAATGGATATTTACTCTAGTAAAACTTTTTGCTTTGTTTGGGTAGAATGCAGACTCCTGTCTGACCTTGCTGATTTTTTTTATATTTTTTTAAACAGGTAACCTTATTGTTGAAAATAAGCCAACTACTGGATATTCACCCAATGTAGTGGTTGGCCAAAATCCCCAAGGAACAAACCATGTAAATAAAGCCCCTGCACAAATTAACCTAGCACAACTCCGTCTCCAGCATATGCAGCAGCAGGTGTATGCTCAGAAACACCAGCAGCTTCAACAAATGAGAATGGTCCAGCCACCTGCACCACACCAAAGGCCATCTGGCCCTCAAGTTATGCATCAGCAGGCAAGTAGAATGGCAGGTTGACTCGTGTTTGAAAGCAGAACATTAGCTGTTTTTATTGTCGTTTTGTGGCCTTTTGTATTTAGTTTAAATGGGAATATATACCACTGCAGTTAATGGACTAAAGTTTCAAAGTAGGCTTCAACATTATAACACTTTTCTACCGTTAAGTGGCCTATCATGTGGCTGTTGAATCCTCTGTAGTATGCCACATTTTTCATTTTCAATTTAATTGTGTTTCCGTAACAAACAGTCCCTTCTTATGTTACTATATTTTCCAGAACTATTGCTCTGGCTGCTGTTTTCCAATCCATATAATTAGTATCACAGAATATGCCCATTGCAAGTAGGGAGTATGGTGCTCTTATTATGGAATCTATTGGTGCCTTTATGCGTCTGATATGTGCTAGTCTCCATTGATCCTCAAATCCAAAGTTTAAAGTTGATTGTAGAATTATAAGTCACTAAATTCAGTCTATATCACCTTGCATGATGAATCACAGGGTGAGGGATCTTTACAGCAGGAGGAGCTGATTTGGCTGCCTCTGCCTACATCCAGATCAGTGTCATGTGTGGCCCAGAGGAAGCCCAAGCCTGCTTAAAATTAAGTATTTCAGCCGGCTTTTTGGTACTTCGAAGGGTAGCAGCAGTAGGCAGCTCACCAGACACAGGATTGCTAGATAGGGCAAAAACCCCAAGATTCCCAAGCGGTTTGGCCAGCAAGAAAGTGATGCTTTATAAAGATTGGCTTAAAATTAAGTTCCACTTTAAGCTGCAGGGACTCCAGTACACAGGGGGCTCAGGTGTACAAATTCTCCCAAGTTGGCACTCTGGCACACCTGTTTTTGGGGTCTGTGAAAAGCAGCTTTGCTGACCAATAATTAGGTTCATGTTGGAGCTCAGATTTAGGGGATGAAGTTGCAGTTGGCATAATTGAGTGCTCTAGTGTTTAGGTCTCCTGAGGCTCTGCGACTGAAAGCAGAGACGTGCCTGCTGTTGAGGTCTGAGGCCAATTTAAATAGTTGGAGGTGAGCAAAAGTTTACTTGTAAGCCACCTAAAATAAAGAAACCCCTTGTTTTCCCTTCTTACTTGGTAAAGGATTCTTGCAGGTAAGTTGTCAAGTATTTATGCTTGAATAATTTGTGAAGGATATGTTATCCAATCCAGTGTACTTTAAACTTGGCTTAATATAATTGCTGTTTCTACTTATTAGGAGTAGAAGCTATGCAACCAAAAATGCAAACTCATTTAAAAATGAACTGGAACAGTTTTTATGAAAGTAATAACTAGAGGATGAACATTTTGCAGCCTCCAAGGTTGATCAGCATGCAGACAATGCAGAGGAATAACATCAATTGCGTACCTTTTCAAGCGCATCAGATGAGAATGGCACAAAATGCTGCTCAAAATGCTAACAGAATGCCAGGTGTACCTCGCCACAATGGACCTCAGTACTCAATGATGCAACCCCATCTCCAAAGACAGGTAAGCAACTTTAATAATCACGTAATTTGTAATGTATATGTGCAGTGCTAGTCTACATGGAGAATTGTGTGCATTTTAGTAGTTTGCTTGATAGTAACCCTGTTACTAGAACTGTAGTCCTTAAAACAGAAGGCTTTGATAAATAGTCTAAGCTCACTGTTGGTCTTAAACACAAACTCAGATCAGATGCAAAAAAGTGGGCTTTTTCATTTCACATAGGTGCAGCAATCAACAGATCTTACATATGATGAATGCTGGTACTCTTTGTGTACATACTGTATTTACCACATAATTTGTTCAACAAAACCCTACCACACCATATATTCTACAGAAAAAGCCTTTAAGATCTCTAATACTGCACTGGTACTTTGACATTATCATGCGTTTAGTTCTAATTTTTGTTATTCTATTATATTACATCTATTACAACTAGAATGGTCCTTGCCAATATCCACTGTGTAGTGTCAAGAGGTAGATTCATGCAAAATAATTCCCTGATGAGCTGAGCTCCCATACATTTTGATGACATTTTGGCATACTTAGTAAGGCCAATGCCTTGTGACGCTGTGATTGGTGGCAGCTCACCAGACACAGAATTGCCTAAAATAAGTATTTCAGCAGGCTTTTTGGTACTTTGAAGGGTAGCAGGAGTAGGCAGCTTACCAGACACAGGATTGCTAGATAGGGCAAAAACCCCATACTTTCTTGCCCACAAGGAAGATTCTCGAGCGGTTTGGCCTGCAAGACAGTGATGCTTTTTAAAACTGAGTTTTTGGTTTTTGTTTCCACTCTATTGATTTCTGTGGCCGTTGAGCAGCAGCAGGATTGCTAGTTGTATGACATAAGCGTAACTGTGTCATAAACCAGTGACTGCTTTCAATATAATAAGTAATCAAAAAGAGTTTTCAGTATGAAGTAATATTGCAATTCCTAAAGGTATTTTAGTTCACTTTTAACCGTTCAGCGGATTGTTTGCTCACTGTGACAGATAAAATATTGTTAATCAGCCAGTGTGGGTAGACATTTAAACAGGGCAAATAGTTTGTATCTAAAATTGTATGAATAGCAAAAAATTTGCTCCGTACTTAAAGTATTACCTGCCATTTACTTAGTCATTTCAACACATCAAAGACAGTCATTGGATGTATCCCAAACGTTGCCTGAATGTCATTAAGGTACTTTAGTAGTTAACTGTTGTAACTTAATACTTGGGACAACTGATTTATTCCAGTCATTTTCAAAGCTATAAAAAAATGTACTATTTCAATTTGCTTACAAAGGGAAGAATAGGGATAACCTGAGAATTCTATTCAGATCTCAGGGAGGCTAAAAGAAAAGTAATACAAATTTGCAATCATCGCTACAATTTGTGTAAAAGTTATTTCTTCTGGTCTTTCCTCCAGCAACATTCAAACCCTGGGCATGCAGGTCCATTTCCAGTTGTCTCGATTCATAATAATACAATCAATCCAACTAGCCCTACTACAGCATCCATGGCAAGTGCAAATAGAGGCCCAACCAGCCCATCTGTTACATCAATAGAATTAATTCCATCTGTTACAAATCCAGAGAATCTTCCCTCTTTACCAGATATACCACCCATACAGGTCAGTACACTTGTTATATCATCTACATATCATCAGTTGTCTCCAAGTCCATACCACTTTATACTCGTTATTCGCTACCTAATAGAAGTTACACTGATTGCAGTTAGAAATCAGGCAAACCCCCTTCCCTTAATTCTAGTGGCAATCAAATTGGGCACTTTGTCCCGGATCTGCATATAATATTTCCTCTTTGTCATTTTATCAACATTACCAGTGGATGTTCCATATGTAGTTTTCATTAAATTGGTATCCAATCTGTTAAGAGTAACGATAATGTCACATATGCACATTTGTAATATCACTCCCTTTGTGTTCTCCTGCACATTAGCTAAATGTGGAACGGACAGTAAATTTTCAGTTGATTACTAGTTTGAGGGGTTGTTGGTTGGTGTGTTTCCTTTGCTGGATTGGTTTAGAGGCAATTATGAAGCTGCAAGTAGATGCAGGTTTTCACTACCCTGTTGATGATTTAACTCCAATCTGCAGGAATAGTCTGTTGGTATTGATGGCTGTGACGATTAGGTTTGCAGGTTGAGTAGTTTAAAAACGTTCTCTTGATACTGTTTTTGGTGAAATTTGTGTAGCTGTTTAAGTTTTATAAGGTTAATTTGTTAATGAGGATGTTTCATTCCCGAGTCCTAGTGTATATGCTACAATTTAATTGTTTCCCTTTCGTCCTCCAGAACAGCTTGCGAGAGATAGGCTCCACCCCTTTTAACAGGAAACACGTCACCCTTAATTGTTTAAAAGGCCCGCCTCTCTCCTAGCTCCTCGGTTCTTCGTGTTTCCTCCGTCGGGGGGAGCATGTCACCGGAACGTCGAGGGGGCCTCTTTTTGGGGTATACCGCTCGGGTTTTTTGTAAGCACGGTTACCTTAATGGGCCACTGGTGCGCTCCACTTGCCGTAGTCGATTCCGCACCAGGTCCTCCGTCCTCTTCAGTGCCCGGGAAGGGTCAGTACCGCCGCTGTGCCTACCCCCTTGGCTGGCCCTCGGATCGGAGGGCTAGTTGTCAGGTCCTGCTGGTCTGGGGGCTTTGGGAGTTTACTCCACGGCCGGATCGGAGGACCGATTGGGTCACTTCCGGTGCGGGTGACGCACTTCCGGGCGCCGCGGGCCTTGCGTTCCAGGCCTCGTTTTCGGTGCAGAGGATGGGGGCGGGCCTGGCTGGTGCATGAGGTGTGATTACAGGCCTCGCTGTGAAACATCACCGGCGGGAGAACGAGCTTCTCTCCAGGATGGACGCTGCTGCTCCTATACAATCCGGTCAGGGAGATACAGGTCCTTCAGGCATCAGCTCTGCTCAGGTAGGTGATTGCTGCCATGCACTCACTCCCTGTAGTTGACTACTTTTTGGTTTATTTCCTCCACCTGGGGCTCCTTGGTGTGGGCTTAAGGTGCGAGGGGGCACTGGAGGGTTGGATGACTGATTCTATCCTTTTCTGTGTTGCAGGTCCAGGTGGCTAAAGGCAAGGTCCTTAAAAGGAAGTGTGCAGTCTGCTCCATAAAGCTGGGGTCAGATTGGAAAGAGTCTACCTTGGCGTGTAGTAGCCTGCTGTCCACGCTTAGGGAGGAATTGGTCTCTACCTTTTCTTCTTTTAGATCCCTGATAACGGAATTGAGACCACCTGCAACACAGTTCCTAGTGCCAGAACCTCCAGCTCTTACTCAGCTGCCCCAGACAACGTCCAGGTCAGGGGGGTTCTGTCGGAGGGAGCCAGAGGAGGTTGATGTCGCTGCGTCCTCTCAACAGGGGTCTTCTGCTGAAGAGGGCAGTGACAGGGATGATGGTCCCCTTGTCTCGAAGTACAAACTATCTCTGGAAGAGGTGGGGGAATTATTAGGTGCCGTGTATGATACCCTGGATATTCAGGAGCAGAAGGTGCTGCTGTCTAGGCACCATTTAATGTACCAAGGACTTCAGCAGCAAAAGGCCAGAGTTTTTCCGCTGCACAAGGTGCTCGCGGACACCATCTTTAAGGAATGGTCAGAACCTGAGAGGAAACCTCTTTTTTTTCCAGCAATTTTAAAAGACGTTTTCCTTTCGACTAAGATGCATCACTACCATGGAACAAGGTTCCTAATATTGATGCCTCATTGTCAAAAATTTCTAGGAAATCGGATCTGGCATTTGAAGATATGGGGGTGCTCAAATACCCTATGGATAGGAAGGCTGAGGTGTTGCTTAAAAGAGCATGGGACTCTGCTAGTACCAGTCTCAGGCCGGCTTTGGCAAAGACATGCGTTGCCAGGAACCTGGAATTTTAGCTTACCCAACTGCAGAGTCATTTGGTGGCAGGGACCCCGAGGGCCAAAAAGCACTGGACGGGGCAGAAGGGCAAGGGGAAGGGAAGTATTTTTACCCTCCCTCCCAGACACCAAAGCAGCAATGACTACTGCGTGAGGGTGGGGGGAAGGTGGTTCAAAAACCGTCAGGAAAGTACAGACTGATTCTCAATTTCAAACTCTTGAACTTGGCAATCGGGTACAAGAGGTTTCGAATCGACTCCATTTTTTCGGTTCGAAACCTGTTGCAGAAGGATTCCTTTTTAGCAACACTGTATTTGAGAGATGCTTATCTCCACATTCCCATTCACAGGATGTCCCAAGTGTTTTTGCGTCTGGCGGTAAGGATAGGTCAGGAGGTGGTGCATTACCAGTTCAGGGCCCTCCCGTTCTGGTTGTCTTCGGCACCTCGCATTTTTACCAAAGTGTTGGGGGAGGCGTTGGCGCCTTTAAGGATGCGAGGTGTTGGAATCATCCCATATTTAGACGACATTCTCCTGTCCGCCGGCTCGGCAGCTCTTTGTACCAAAAACCTGGAGATGACGCAGAGTTGGTTGCAGGACCTGGGATGGGTGATAAATGTTCAAAAGTTGAACTTAATTCCTTCCCAGAACGCAGTCTTTTTGGGTTACATCCTGAATACGGTAGAGCAGAGGACTTTTCTCCCAGCTGAGAAAATTTAGAAAGTGGGAGAGGCAGTGAGTCGCTTGCAGACTAATTGCCCAACATCCCTAAGAGGAGTTATGTCGGTGCTGGGTCTTATGACCTCTTGTCTACCAGCTGTCCAGTGGGCAAGGTTTCACCAGAGGGGTCTCCAACGGTTTCCGTTGAGGGTGTGGGACCATTCCCAGGTGTACTTGGATGCCACTGTCAGGCTTCCCCCTTCAGTGAGGAGGAGCTTGTGGTGGTGGAGAGACCAAGGTCGCCTATCGGGAGGCCTTCAGTGGTCTTTTCAAACTACCATAAGGTTGACTACGGACGCAAGTGCCTGGGGAGGGGGAGCACACCTGCAGGATCGGGTGACAAATCGACATTGGTCTCATCGAGAGGCACAAATGTCTTCCAACTTTAGGGAGCTGCGAGCGGTTCTGAACGCAATTCTGGTGTTTCACGATCAGCTCAGGCATCAGCATCTGATGGTATTATCAGACGACGTAGCCACCGTGTGTTATCTGAACAAACAAGGGGGTACCAGGAGTTCCTTCGGGCAATCGCGAAGGAGATTTTTGTTTGGGCAGAAGTGAATCTGTTCTCTCTCGGCAGTACACCTGAAGGGAACACAGAATACACTGGCAGATTATCTGAGTCGGGTCCAGGTCTTCCAGGACGAATGGAGCCTGGATCAGGAGGTTTTCAACCTCCTGTCCAGGGAATGGGGGTTACCGCAAGTAGATCTGTTTGCCACTCAGGCCAACGCGAAATTGGAGCACTTTTTTTCTCTGAATGCAGCAGACAACGCAGTAGCAGTGGATGCGCTGTCGCATCCATGGGAGTATCACCTGTGTTACGCATTTCCTCCCATTCATTTAATTCCACGGGTTCTACAGAAGTTCTTGCAGGAAGAAACCAACCTGATTTTGGTAGCGCCCCTTTGGCCCAGGAGAGCGTGGTTTACGACGGTGCTGTCCTTATCGGACCGACCGCCTTGGCCGCTCCCGATCAACCAGGGGTTGTTATCACAGGGACCGGTCATGCATCCGGAAGTCGACAAGCTGTCTCTTCATGACTTCTATCTGAGGAAGAGATTTTAAGGAGGAAGGGCCTGTCTTCCCGAGTGATTAGCACCTGTTGTCTAGCCGTAAATTGGTTACACGAAAAATGTATGGGAAGATGTGGAAAACTTTCTGCACCTGGAGAGAGAGAAATCACAGGGATGCGACCATACCGTTGGTTCCTGATTTCCTGCAGAAGGGGGCAGGTGGGGCCTAGCCATCAGCACCTTGAAGGTACAAATCTCAGCATTGAGCGTATATGTGCAGTGTTCTCTGGCTAATTAACTAGTAAGTAGGTTCTTTAAAGCCCTTAAACGTATTCGGCCAGTGAAGCGCTGTGCCGTGCCTAAATGGGATCTTTCGGTGGTCTTGCAGGGCCTGATGGTTCCCCCTTTTAAGCCTCTACCGGATCTTCAGATTAAAATGCTCACGTTAAAAACTGTGTTCTTGGTTGCTATAACCACAGCAAGAAGGGTTAGTGATTTACAAGCTCTGTCTTTAAGGGAACCTTACTTAACGGTTTTTGAAGACAGAGTGCTATTGAGGACAGATCTGGCAATTTTGCCAAAAGTTTCTTCGGACTTTCATAGATCTCAGGAGATCGTGTTACCTTCTTTCTGCAGTCGACCGGCTAATCAGAAAAAGGCAAGTTTTCACCACCTGGATGTTAGGCACTGCCTGCTAGAGTACCTGGAAGTGACTAGACCATTTAGGAAGTCGGATGCTATTTTTGTTCTTTTTTCCGGAAAGGATAAGGGAAAAAAGGCCTCGATAGCCAGGTGGGTGAAGCTATGTATTCAGGAGGCTTATGGGGCTAAGCAGGTCGGTGTTCCGCCTTTTTTTGAATGCACACTCTACCAGAGGGTTAGCTACCTCGTGGGCATAGAGAGCTGGTGCCACTCCAGAGCAGATCTGTAAGGACGCAACCTGGTCCAGTTTTTCAACGTTTGTCCGCCATTACCGGCTGGATTTGAATGCGGCAGCAGAGCAGACGTTTGGTAGAAAAGTGCTCCAAGCCGTAGTCCCGCCCTAAGTGGGTAAGTTCTTGTTTATCCTCTCGCAAGCTGTTCTGGAGGACGAAAGGGAAATTCAGAGTTAGACTTACCGGTAACTCTCTTTCCTATAGTCCTCCAGAACAGCTGGATTCCCGCCCTTGATATTGGAGTGGTGATGAGATGTGATTTCAATTTGATATTCTGTTGTTGTTTTGGTTCCTGTGTTTACAGTGTCTTCCTACGGTTCGCGATACAACTGAGGAGCTAGGAGAGAGGCGGGCCTTTTAAACAATTAAGGGTGACGTGTTTCCTGTTAAAAGGGGTGGAGCCTATCTCTCACAAGCTGTTCTGGAGGACTATAGGAAAGAGAGTTACCGGTAAGTCTAACTCTGAATTTTACTTTAAGAACCAAATATATTATTTTGTCTGAGTAGTTTAAAAACGTTCTCTTGATGATACTGTTTTTGGTGAAATTTGTGTAGCTGTTGAAGTCTAAGGTTAATTTGTTAATGAGGATGTTTTCATTTCCAAGTCCTAGTGTATATGCTACAATTTCATTGTTTTACTTTAAGAACCAAATATATTATTTTGTCTGATAATTAAATAGAACTTTTTCTGCTGTGGTTATACCAAGAATACAGCTGCTGCAACTGTGTTTTTTGGTATTGCTGTTTTCAGTCGACTTTCACGTTCAAGTGATTGGACAGCTGTAGAGGGTGTATTCCTTGCTCCAGTAGGCTTCCGCTGTGTGACCAGTCCCCTGAAGCCTCTTCTCTTTGGCTCTCCAGCCAGCAGTCAAGTTCTAAAGTTATCACTTGTATCTGGGGATGGTGAGACCCTGGTGTGTCATAGAAAAGGACAACAGCGGGGGACTGAGGAATAAGGCATTTTTGTATTTGGCTAGATTCAACAAACATTTAACGTTACTACTAAAGTCAGGAGTTAAATCTTGAAAATACATTCAAGTATCCTAACTATTATCAAATATGTGTCTTATTTGTGCATTACTCTACAGCTGTAGATCCTCAAATCATCTCTGAATTGGTGCTGACACGCTACTTTTATTTCCCATTGTCCCTGTGTGTGTTGTAAAGTAGCCGCTGTTCCAAGCTCACTCCTGTGATGGACTACAATCATGTTTAGTTTACTAATTTGTATTGAGATTGTAGTACATGGGACCGAGATTGGAACAGTGGCTACTTTAAAACAGACACTGACCATGGGGAACAAAAGTAGCCACCCTCCACAAGAAAGGACAGTGTCTGCATGAATTCAGAGATGATTTGAGAATCTATAGCCGAGTGATACACAAATAAGATACATTTTTGTTTATAGTTAAGGTACTATTTTTACGATTTAACTCCTGAGTTTGGTGTCATGAACCCCTGCCATTTTTCTTAAATGGCAAGCAAAAGAAAACTGTAGTCCAGCTTAACCCCCCTACAACCAGCTAACATCAGTTTTTTGCTAGTGTCCTTTAAGGATGGGCATCTTCAGCTCTGGTGTAAAAGCTAACCTGCTAAACTATTATTATTTTGCTAGGTTTCCCCTCCGAACGAACACTTTCTGTGGCAGTCAGCCTCGGCCTACATTTTGGAAGTACTGCATCCGGACCCCACTAAAGTGGACATTGTGGGGATAGCCTGGAAGTGACCATCAGGCACCAGGTTTTACCGTAGGGTGCTTTCAGTTTAACTTAAATTTAGCTGCTGAGCACTTTTCAGGTTCAGAGCCACTGCCATTGCCACCATCAGTGCTTGCTCCTTCACTGAAAACTCACTCCCTGAGTAGGTCGCTCAAGCAATGCATCAGAAGCTATCTAACTTTTGTTGGTTGCTGGACGCCATTATTGCCACCAATTTTTGCTGCAGAATGTTAACGGTGTAGGACTGAGCATTAATTACGTTAGCGCCACTACACTTTAAGTTCCTTTGCCTGCCCTTTCAGCCTTTGCTCCACCTCCATACCGTGAAGCTAATTACATTGCTTGCATTTCAAAAAAAAAATTGAGGATGGTTTAATTTATACAGGGCTGCATTCATTTGTCTCTTTCAGATCTACCTGTAGTTCAGCTATAAATTGTTTTAAGTGACTAAAAGTCCACATCTACCAGCACAGCTCATCTGTCAACCTTGTTATACAATACTGTTTTAATACATTGTCTCTCTATGATCTGTAGAAATTACCCTGGAAGCTACAGCAATGTCCAATCACTTCTCCAATCAAAAAGCCTTGTATTCTTTGGGAAAAATACAAGCCATTTTGTGAACTAGCAAGAAGGGACAGGGATACGACTGGGACACTTCACTGTTCCAGTCGCATCCGTTTCAGTCCAGAAGCCGAGAGTTATGTGTAGGAGCCAGTATGCTCCAAGGTAAAATGTTTATGCTTTGCAGCAGCCCTCCATACAGGTTTAGCAATAAGTTACATACCCAGTACAGTTTGTAAATTAACATTTGTTAATTCAGCATTTGGCTTTAATTACCATTTTTAATCAAAATAAAATCGACAGAATTGCCTTTTAAAGCTGTACGCATATACCAGGTGTATTTTAAGCCCCTATTTATGTCAGTGTGCATAAGCCCTTAGGTATGCAATAACAGCAATTATTCCAAACTCTTTTTCTAATGGCTGTCTCCCAGTGTTTAGGAGGGTGTGTATACTGCTTGTCCATCAAGTTTGACAGTCTGTGGACTGTGGTTCCTTTCTTTCTCAGCATTATAAGGCTGAAGGCAACTGACACAAATGGCAAACGGAGAAATGCATTGAAGATCAGTCTGTAACTTGCATGATACGTTAGGCTGTGTAGCAACATATCTCTGGTATAATTTTTCTGCTATAAACCGTAGTTTTCTTTGCATATTTAGATTTAACTAGTGCAGCGGGAGATTGCTTAACCCCTTCATGACTGAGGCCTTTTTCTTCATTTTTTGTACCCATGTTATATTCCACATTTTAGGCCTGAAAATTACTTAAAACCCCCCAACATTATATATTTTCTGAATGCCAAGACCCTATAGAATAAAATGGTGGTAGTTGCAAATTTTTATGTTGCGCAATATTAGCACAACTCCTTATTAAACACCAATATTTAGTGAAAAATGTAATTAAATGCCCCAAAACAAAATACCCATTTTTTAAATTAAATATAAAATATGAGGTTACAACGAGTAAAACGATACCCAACATGCCCAGGTTACAAATTGCGTGCATCCGTAAAATGGCGAAAAACCCCAGTACCCCAAAAAGTCCATAGACAAACAGCCCCGATGCTGGCGACGTACACTGTACGTCGTCAGTCACGAAGGGGTTAATACTGGCTACTTAATTGGTACTGTAAAGCTGGCCATACACCTTACAGCCATCGCACGACTTTCGTTGTGCGATGGTTTTAAGGTAATTCAAATCTCGTACGATCTGCCCATCTTGGACAGGCAGATCGTACTTGCGATTATCGCAAGCCCTCCTCGCTGAGTGGAGGGCTTCCGATGAATCCAATGCTGAGCGGGCAGTGTGCGCTTGCGCACACCAGCCCGTTCGGCATTTCTCTTCCGAGCACGCCACTAACCCGCCGAAAATCTTACTATTTTCGGCAGGTTTTCAAGCCCGCTCGGAAGACAAAAGAAGTGCGACCGTACAGTAGAAATGGTCGCACGCCTTCCATACACCTGCCGATTATCGTACAATCGTGGCATCACCCGCAAGTATACGATCGTATGTCACCTTTACTGTATGCATTGGTTAAAAGTTTAAATCTGCTATATTCCATCTTCAGTATCATCAGTGCATTTTTCACCAGTTTACCATTAATAACTGGTGTTAGCAAAATGTATGTACTGTCAAACGAATATCAGTAGGATGATATGTACACCATATCCCAAAGACTAAAGCAAATGGAGCAGTTAGTTGCAATGTTCTTTAGAATGTTATGTGAGGTCCTTCTTGAACTATCTGGTTCGTATTAATTTAGGCCCTTATACTACATAGTTGCTGGTAGATCTTTTAAATCTAAAGTAGATTTTTATAATCAGACTAACAAGTGTGGTCAAATTTATAGTATGGTCTTAATGGGTAACTGTTTTCTTGGTTCTTTGTCTGTTTCGTTTTCTGCTTGGTCTGTAAAATATCTTTATTGGACCTGCAATCCAAAGGTATCTGCTTCCACTTTTCATTTCATTACATAACATGAATCCCATTACAAATCTTGCTCATTTTGAAAAGTTCTCTTTTCTGAATTTGTATCCCCCATATAGAACTTTTTAATTGTCCATCGCAAGAAAAACTCAATATGGCATCATTTTTTAAGAGATTTTTTTTAACATGTGGCCTTTAGTGAATTTTGGGTGTAATAAATATTCAGTGCCATCGGAGTATCAGGTAAAACTTATGTGGATGTTCCTTCTCTTATAGCTGGAAGATGCTGGATCAAACAATTTAGACAATATATTAAGTAGGTACATTTCAATTGGACATTCGCTTCCACAGCCAACAAGCACTATGAATCCTTCACCTGGACCATCTGCCATGTCACCTGGTTCCACAGGTAAATTTGTTACTGATGTATTCTTTTTAATGCAAATGCAAACATTGCATTTAAAACCTTTTTTATTTTCAGGCAAAAATATTCTCTTTCCTTTTAAAGGAAACACTAGCACCAATCATAAACCCTTTTATCCCCCCTCCCTTTCTGCACCATGAGACCCGCAATGGATTTTGTATATTGAAGCGGAATTGCAGAAATGTATAAAAGTTAGGGGTTTCAACTGTAACTTTGCTGTTGCTACAATAAGAGCACTTACTGGTTGTGTTGGCCACAGCTGCACCCATCTACCTTTTTAACGCTTTAGCTTTCTCAGCTGACTCTTTTGGTCACATGATCTAGAAGTCAGATGTGTTTCTTTAAAAAAAAAAAAATGTTCTCACTCATTAGTCCATAGTTAGGTGGCCAAGCAACGAAGTTGCTAGACACCTATTGTTTTTGTTAAGATTATTATTCTAATTTGTATTATTATTCTGCCGCTTTATTCAAATGCCTGTAATAAGTGCACTGTTAGTCAAAAACTCATGAAAGAGAAAATATGGCTGCTCTCATGCACAGTACTCATGGGGGATTTTTTCCTTTTACCTATCATTCTTTTAGGCGATTTCTGTTTTTTTGTTCTAATAATTTAACCCTTTCGCTGCCAAGCTCTCAAACACTTTACATCTCAGCTCAATTTTTCCTAATGTTTTGATTTTCTATTGCTGCGTTGCCAGCATTTGTAAAAGACCCCCCACCATATATTTTCTGGAAGCACAAGCCTGGTAGAATTAAAAGATGGTGCTACTAAATTTATAGGCTCTGCGATAACTGCGCAAATGTTTATCAAATCAATATTAAACCAATAAATATACACAATTCAATAGATAAAGCACACTAAAATCCGTATCAGTACACACACAAAAATACTTTTCAGACTAAATCTAACAGATAAAACTGTATTTAGTTAGTGACAAATATTTGTAAATTTTAAATTGTGCCCTTTTGCGAAACGGTAAAAAATTAAAGTGACTTGTGTTTTAAAAAGAAATTTTTTTTGCACTATGTTGGTGTTTGTGTTGTGATTAAAATGATACAGGCGTATAATTTTTTTACATTTTATTGCAACACAGCGTATCACAACGTACAGCAATGCGTCGCAATGCTTTGCCACAGTTAAATTAATGTTATTTTAAAAAAAAAAGTGATCTAGCAGTGCATGGCGTACACCCCAATATGGTGCCTGTGTTTGGGGGAAGGGGTTGTGTTTTTTTTTGGGAGGGGGGGGAGATGGGGCTTTGCGGAAATAATCGGGGTCTAAATTTGCAGCATAACCTTAGTTTTCAGCACAAATAGATGTTAATGCCTTGGTTAGAGGTTTTATCTTTGTCCTTAAACAAAATACTTGTATGTATTTTGACATGAATGGATAGATATAGGTATGTAAAATAATTCGCTCTCAATCAAAAATGCTGATTACTGTGATCATTATACTTATATGATCACAGTAATCACTGTGATTATATACTTATATGATCATTATATCTTTCACGCTATTTGCAAGACTGCTACAAATAGATGTATGGTTTATTTAATGTCTTTCTAAACCCAAATTCTAAGTTTAAACATAGCTTTGCTCCCTTTTTACTGAACCAACTTTGGGTTGTCTTTTAATGTCTGCAGATTTGTCCTGCCTGTATGTGCATTTCATTGACTTCATGTCACTGGATGAAAATGCACACTCCCAGGATCTCCACACAGGAGTAGCAGCAATTGTCATCCTTTGAAGCCACAGGCTGACATGCAGATGCATGCCCCAAAATTATGCTTTTACTCCACTGTGGCAGAGCAATGTATTGTGGGAAGAGTAGTCCCATACTATCTGCCTATGTTGCTGTAAAGGCCTGTGTGCTCATGGCTGTTGGCCGGCACAACAAATGAAATCTATAGACCATAGCCACTGAAAAGTGCACATGCTAAAGATTACAAAAAGTAGGTGATAAAAAGGTGTATTAAAGACCTATGGCAAACTTGTTTAGTTTAATCTGGTCTACCAAATATATTGTTCTTAAAGTTCAGATCTAACTTCAAACAAATTGGAAAAGTATATAATTTTCTGCTTTAATGTATCATCATATTGTAGAACTAGTTACGTAAGAGCTGCATACTATAACATGTGTGGTATCTATCTTTCTCAGGTTTATCTAATTCACATACACCAGTGAGGCCACCCAGTACATCAAGCACTGGCAGTAGGGGAAGGTGAGTGCACAGTTCTCATCCTAGTCCCTGACCTTTATATAATTTTAACTGATGCAGGATGCAAAAAGACAGGAATTTGAAGATGGTGAACTAAATGCAGCAAGAGCCAGGGTTGCCAAGTGATTAAACCTGATGACCAGTTTTAAACGGGGCCAGGAACATGGTGTTTTGCAGCACATATTTAAAACTCCTTTGGAGAAAATGTATCTGCAGCAAATTGGTTAAGGGCCTTCTCTACTATAAACCACAAAGCAGGAAGCTATATGATCTCCTATTTTTCCATTTAAACGTGCTAATGCAGGGGACTTCTGGAACCTCCTGATAATCCTTGCATTTCTGTGTTCTTGGTCACCCCAATATATGGTTTGAGAAGAAAAAGTGACAATAGGAAGGTCCATTAAAAGGCTGTATGCCCAAAAAATTGTATGAATTGGTCTTTTAGGCTCACCATTAGTGTTGTTACTCTGTCAAACAGGACTTACAGAATTACTTTCATGACCAAGAGTATGCGCTTTCTCTACCACATACACAAGTTAAATGTATGAAGAATCTCCAGTTTTGGAGAGTTCTCACAGTTATAATGTAATTTTCAAAAAAGCCATAGATAATTGTGACATGTTTATAATAATTCTAAAATTACCAGAGCTTCTTAGAAAACATTTATGCAGTTATTTGGCAGATTGCATTAGGAGAAACTATTCAAACTACGTAATGAGTAATGCAATTGAAAAAACTTTATGGTTAATTTACAGTTGTGGATCAAGTAGTAGAACAGTTGATAGAAATGCTTTCAAATCGGATACAGTGAAGGTGAAGCAAGAGCCCGGAACAGAAGATGATGTGTGTAGTTTCTCAGGAACCGTTAAGCAAGAAAAGACTGAAGATGGCAGAAGAAGTGCATGCATGGTAAGTAAAGACACACATGTATTTATGCTAACATTGTTTATAGAGGTCGGTATGCGTTATTCTGGATGCAGACCTTGCATCAACAACCATGAGATGTCTTTGGTCCAGTCCTATGTTTCCATATCATCACTAACATTTTCCACATGCAACCATTTGAAGTAGTCACACAAGACTTTTTGGGAAATCAAAAATAAAACAGCAATGCATCTTTGGTTCATAGTAAATAGGCTACTCACTAGGTAAAGATCTTTTCCATGCCGGTTGATCTTTGTAGAGGAATTTTAGTTTTCTGTCAAATTTGATGCGAGTCTGGAGAGAATAATCTTATGTCATCTTTTATGCTTGCATGGCAGTTGAAGTACTTATTGTAACCAGTAGATCCTCTCTCACTAAAAACTCAGAATATTACCTTTTCAGCACAAACCTTTTCTGCAGATATGTGGAGAGTTATAAATAGACACCATTGATGCAAAATGGTGTGGCACAGCCAGTGGCCTGTGATACCGGGTTAACTGTCAAAAAATTGAAAAATTGGCAGCTTCTGTAAATCTGCAGGATAAAGGATAGGCTACAAGCTGCATAACTGCATAAGAGGTTTATGATCTGAGGGGTTTCCATACTAGCAATGGATTGTGGATATTTGATTTAAATGCTGTTTTTAGTCATTTTTGGTACCTCTGTAATAAGTTTTTTTTGAATGTGATAATTTTCAAATTAAATTCGCTCCCTTATTTTATCTTATATTTGACTCTGTTTTGGAGTTTTGTGCAACTTGTGTTTTGCATGTTGAAATACTTCATGGAAATAACTTTTCCTTCTGATACCGTTTTCACAATGGCATTATTCAGTGGAACTTTGCAGAGTGCCTGATTTAGCCAAAAGGCAATTAAATGTTGACTGCTTTAAGTTTGGTTATTAAAGTAATTTTTTTTTGCTTTTACTAGCTGAGTAGTCCTGAGAGCAGTCTGACCCCTCCACTCACTACCACTCTGCATCTTGAAAGTGATTTGGAGGCTTTGGCCAATCTAGAAAATCATGTAAAGACTGAACCTAACACCACAGGCCGAAGTTGTGAACAGTCAACACATGGTACCCTTGTCAATGGAAAGTCTCCAATCCGTAGCTCTATGCATCGATCACCGCGAGGAGGCGGCGGAGGTGATGGTACGAACAAAGATGAAGATCCAAATGAGGATTGGTGTGCGGTGTGCCAAAATGGAGGAGACCTCTTATGTTGTGAGACGTGTCCAAAAGTGTTTCACTTAACGTGTCATGTACCTACACTCCTTAGCTTTCCAAGGTATACCAATAAAATTGAATTGCATAGTCTTCCTTATTGTCATCACCTGCAACAGCACACGCACACATTAAAATATATACGTGTGTGTATGTATGTATATATATATATACACACACACACGTGTATATGTGTATATATATATATAT